GACTGAACAACACTCAAATCCAAGAGTCCTCATACCTGATGAAAGGGCCTGGGCAAACAGAGTCTCAGCGAAGGGCCAGGACTCAAGGTGACTTGTGAGGGCTGGGAACTACCCCTCCAAGGGAACAGGTGATGGGGAAGAAGGGGAGCTGGCTTTCAGAGCCCTGCTCACTAAGAGCATCTCACCGGCTGCTCTCCGAGCCTGCTGTTCCACAGGGTGGCAGGGGACACGGCCAGCAGTTGAGAGGGGTAAAGAGGCTGCCATAAAAGTCTAAGACAGGCTGAAGGCAAAACCAGATGGAATAACTGCCCTTGGTTTTGTCAAAAACTCCCATCTTGTTTCAGGGGCCTAAGGTGCCACAACACAATGACTCTGGGAATTTTGTCCAGAGAAGCATCTGGCCAGAAAATCGGGATTCCCCTGCCATGCAACCGGCCTGAGAAGGCCTTCCGCTTTCACCCCACTCACTTCCCAAGCTTCACTCCCTAGCCCCAGGGATGCCCATCACTACAGTTCCATGTTCTGGGGAGACCCACAGCCCTTCTAGGAGGCCCCTGAGGGCAAGGCAGTGGGGGACAGCTTCAGGAACCCCTGGGTGGCTCTGTACTGAAGGTGAGTGGCTTCAATGAGGAAAGGGCAGAAACTTCCCTGAACTTCCCCTGTGGTCATCAAGTTAGCAGGGAGGAAAACAGGGCTTGCTCAGGGCCAGAAGGGAAGCAAGTGGAGGGAAACTCCTGTAGCCACTGGCTGGTGCACATGCCGCAGATTTCCACCCTCTTGCTGTGGGCACCCACCCAGGAAAGCCCCTGGGATCAGTGATACTGCAGGCCTTGACAAAGTCCTCCCTCCACCTCCCAAGTCACAGTGATAATAATAACCAGGTACTCTTCTAAGTATTTGCATGTATTAACTGAAAAAAATCCTCAAGCCCATTTTACAGATGGGGAAAGTGAGGCAGAAAGAGACTACATTTTTTTTTTTAGATGGAGTCTCACTCTGTTACCCAGGCTGGAGTGCAGTGGCACGAACTTGGCTCACTGCAACCTCTGTCACCCCGGTTCAAGCGATTCTCATGCCTCGGCCTCCCGAGTAGCTGGGACTACAGGGAGCGCCCCCACACCCAGCTAATTTTTGTATTTTTAGTAGAGATGGGGTTTCACCACGTTGACCAGGCTGGTCTCCAACTCCTGACCTCAAGTGATCTGCCTGCCTGGGCCTCCCAAACTGCTGGGATTATAGGCATGAGCCACCACGCCTGGCTGAGCCTACATTCTAATAACTATAAAAGGCAAGTCTGGGATTCAAACCCCACAAATCGGGCTCCAGAGTCTTTGCTCCTAATCAGCACACTGCACTGCCCCCGAGGCTGACTACAGGCTCCTCTGAGGGCACCACCATTTTCTGAGTTCCTGCTTCTGGAAGGCTGGGATGGTATGTGGAGAGACAACAGGAAGTAAGGAGAAGGCTGTGAACTTCCAGGTGGATCATTAACAAACATCCCAACTGAGCGTCAGAGCTCCTAACGGCTCCCAGCCTGTTCCTCAGGATCCACACAGAGGCCCTCTATGGTCAAAGCTGACAGTCACAGGACCGTGACAGTAACCAACCCTCAGGCCTCAAGGCATGCGCCACTCAAAGGCCCCTCACCAGGACACACAACCCAGAGGCCCCCTGACTGCCAGCCCACCCCAGTGCTCCTGGGAGTCTCAGATGGCCCAGCCCTGCCATGGAGAACTACCCCTCCAAGCGAACAGGTGATGGGGAAGGGGAAGGGGAGCTGGCTTTCAGAGCCCTGCTCACTAAGAGCATCTCACCAGCCAAGAGCAGGGCCAGCTGCCCAGAGGAGCAACAGTCAGCATGTCAGGAGCAACAGTCCAAACACAGAGGATTTTAGGGGGGCTCAGATCCCAAGCAAACCCCAGCAGGAGGCAGGGCAGGGTGAGTGGGCTTAGGGGATGGAGTCAGTTCTGGCACAGAGGTCCCTGGGGCTCAGGAAGCAAAGGGCGCCCTGCACGGGGGAGCCGGCAGGCTGACATCCCAGACCTGTATGTGGCTGCCTTGCTGTTACCATTCAGATCTCAGCTCAGCTGTCACATCTCAGGGACTTTTGATTCCCCAGTCTAAAATAGCCTCTCTGTCACTCACATCATTCCACTTTATTTTCTACATAGCACTTTCACTTTCTGATATGTTGCTTCTTATTTATGGTCTGTCTCTCCTCAACTAGAATGAAAGCTTCATGAGGGCAGGGGCACTGTTGTGTTCACTGCTGTGTAATCAGTGCCTAGAGTGGTGCCTGGCAATAATACCTAGTAATACTTGTGGAATGAACGGATGGATGAATGGGCCCAAAAAGGCCCAGGCCCTTAAACACTGATGAGGGCAGGTATAAACACTAGCTGCCTCAGTCTCTCTTCCCTCCTTTCTTGAGAAATATAGCCTTTTAAAATGTTTAATTCTCGCATTTAATTTTTTTCTGATTAAAGCAACATGTGCTGAAATTTAAACATTACAGAACGACATAGAAAGCAAAAGTTCCCTGTAATCACATATCTTAGAGAAAGTCACTATTAATGGTATGTTGTGTAGTAATCCAGATTCAATTTTATTTTTTAAAAAGCCAATCCATGCATCATAGAAAAAGCATTCATAGGCCAGGCATGGTGGCTCACACCTGTAATCCCAGCATTTTGGGAGGCTGAGGCAGGAGGACTGCTTGAGCCCAGGAGTTTGAGACCAGCCTGGGCAACATAGTGAGACCTCATTTCTAATAAAGAAAAAGCATTCATAATTCCAGGCTAACAGAGATTATCATTTCTCCTTTGCAATATTTTCCTATGTATGTATTTTACAAGTCACCATAATATACTTATTCTGCAACCTGCCATTTTTACTTGTCATAGCTATTTTTCCAAGTTGTTATATAGCCTCTGTGCTCGTGATTATAATGGCTGTGTAATATTCCAGCAAGTGGAAAACTGTAATTTACTTAACCTAGATGTCCAAAGGAAACAACTGTTTCCCATTCTACTACTGCAGATGATATAACGAGAATTACCTTTAATGCCTGTAATGGAAGAATTTAGTCCTTTTCTTCTCTGGTAATATTTCCTAATAAGATTTCTTAATGGATAATTCCAGAAGGGGAATCACTGAACCAAACGGTACAACAGCCTTAAGGCTGATGGTATAAATTGCTGTGGGGAGACGTGTCTCCTGTCTGAGTCATCACGCTCCCACAGAGGCATCCATGGCCATCTCTCTACCTCCAACCCCCCTTCTACAGTCTAGGCTTGCTCACACCACCCTGGCTACAAATCAACTCAAGAACACACTTCCTGAAAAACACTCCAGTCAAACTGACTTTGCAAGCCCAGGCTGAGTGGAAAACAGATTCTGGCCCTGAATTATAAACTCTCAACTAGGAGAGTCAAGATCTACCTAAAGTGGAGAAAGACCTGATTACTCCTTTTCTACTCCCTGCAAATTCCTGCATGGAATCTGAAGCTCTGGGCTCCCATGGACCAGCCTAGGAACTCCTAAAAAAGCTTGTCTCTTCAAGATTGCAAAAGCCCAGCTCTGCCTGCCATGCCTTCTGGGGAACTTCCTTCCTGCAGGTCTCTGATCCCACCAGGCTACAGGCCCTGCATAGACATAACAGCCTTCAGGCCAGACAGGCCTCTGGGGGTTGGGAAAGCAGCCAATTGTCATTTTTTAAGGCATCATAATTAAGGAAAAGCCAGGGGCTGAGGCTGGAAAGAAAGGCCTGTAAGGACAGGCAGGGCTGTGCAGTTAGGAGCCTCTTGCCCTACCTCGAGCTTGTCTTGCTGAGGAGGAGATGCTGCTGCTGACATGTGGCAAAAACAAGAGGACCTGCTCCTCCAGATCCCCTGGTGGTCATTCTTATGGCAACTAAGGCTCACAAATCTCCCCACCTCCCAGGGCCCTGGATGCCCTACTCCAGGCCTCCTAGACCAGCACCACATGCATTGCTCATGGCTTCTGGGCAGAGTCCAGTCCCAGGTGATGCACGGTCCTCACTGCACAGATCTGAAGCCTGACGGCCAAAGTAGATGCTGTTTCCCAGGTGTGGGTGCTCACTTCACTCACGCCAGCAAATCTGAATGATATGGTTTGGCTGTGTCCCCACCCCAAATCTCATCTTGAATTCCCACATGTTGTGGGAGGAACTGGGTGGGAGGTAATTGAATCATGGGGCCAGGTCTTTCTCATGCTGTTCTCATGATAGTGAATAAGTCTCATGAGATCTGATGGGTTTTCGTTTTGTAGTCTTGCTCTGTTGCCAGGCTGGGGTGCAATGGCATGATCTCGGCTCACTGCAACCTCCGCCTCCCAGGTTCAAGCCATTCTCCTGCCTTAGCCTCCCCAGTAGCTGGGACCACAGGTGCATGCCACCACGCCCAGCTAATTTTTGTATTTTTAGTAGAGATGGGTTTTCACCATGTTGGCCAGGATGGTCTCAATCTCTTGACCTTGTGATCTGCCCACCTTGGCCTCTCAAAGTGCTGGGATTACAGGCATGAGCCACCGTGCCCGGCCAATCTGATGGTTTTATAAGAGGGAGTTTCCCTGCACAAGCTCTCTCTCTTTGCCTGCCACCATCCATGTAAGATGTGACTTGCTTCCCCTTGCCTTCCACCATGATTGTCAGGCTTCCCCAGACACTTGGAATTAATCCTCTTTTTCTCTATAAATTTTCCAGCCTTAGGTATGTTTTTATCAGCAGCATGGAAACAAACTAACACACTGGGTCTGGCCTGGCTTTTAGAGGCCATGTGGCCATAAGACGGCTCCAGCATGTGATGGCCCAATATTGCTTGACATTCCCCTCCCATTGCAGAACTGCAGCCCTGCGACAGGACCTTGGATGGGGAACAGACTCAGAACTAGAACCTCCAGACTTGTGCCCATGCTGATGAGGTGCTGAGCAGGCAGGATCACTGGGCTGGTGATCCCCTGGGTGCTTGTAACATACTCACTTATCACACCCTTGAGTGTGCAGCTCACAACAGACATCAGGATCTTTGTCCAGGAGTGTCCCAGGATAACCTTTGTTGGCTGGGCCTCAGTGCCATTCTCAGCAACGTAGGCAAGCATCAGCCCTAGGACTCAGGTGATCCTTGGCTGGGGGGCTGGCAGCTTCCATGTGTCCCTGGAAATAAAAGAGGAGGCCTTTATCAGCTCAGACTGCCCCCAGCAGATCCAAGGCAAACACTGCAAGGACCTGGGCTCTGGGGTCAGCACCAGACACTCATCCCCACCTTGGCCACCAAGGCCCCCTCCTGCCCCCTCCTCTCTGCATCCAGTTTGCTCAGGTCTGATTAATCCCGCCAAAAGAGTCTGGGATGGTCCTGGACAATCCACATGTCGGGGGTTAGGACTTAGGGCTTCTTGCCTGAATGTGTGCACACTTGTGAATCTGAGAGGAGCTATAATTTTAGAATCCAGTTACATCCTCATTCAGCTTCAAATTACATTCTCACCTTCACCCTGTAGTGGGTACATCTGTTCTCAAGGGCGGTCAGAACCTCATGGAAGGCAGACAATGTAGGACATCTGTTTCAGCATTTTGAAAGCAGAGAACAACCGCACATGCAGAAAAACAAAATGTGTGCTAAATCTTTCTATGTACAATTCTACCTCTCCAATATTTATTCATCTCATTTTATTATTTTGGTTGAGGCCCTTCCTATGAACATCAGTAGCCGGCTACAAGCTAATACAAATCTTACTTTATAATGCCCTTTGCCATGTACTTAAAAAAAAAATCAAATAGAGACAGGTCTTGCTATGTTGACCAGGCTGGTCTCAAACTCTTGGCCAACCCTCCCACCTCAGTCTCCCAAAGTGCTAGGATTATAGGCATGAGCCACTGTGCCTGGCCAGCCATGTACACATTTTTAATACTATCCCTAAGACTTGACTATTTAATGGAGATTCCAACATTTTTTGTTTTAATATGAAAGTGCTAAAGCTTCCCTGAAAACCCCCTGGATATAGCACCATCTGCATATGCCCAAGGACAGCACTCAGGCCCAGCATGGCCCTCTGGGACAGCCCAGCTGCTCAGAAGTTGAGAACAGTACGTGGCTGGGGTGGGAGCTGGCACTCCCCCGTGGATGACCAGGCAGGATGGACCAGAGGCGCTGGCCTGTGCTGATGCCCATGTCCACCTTCCTCCCTCCCCTCTGACCCCCAGGCTCTCTGAGTAGATGCCACTTGGACCCTTGCTCAAGCTGACAACCTGTGAGGCAGCCAGGCAGCCGAGGAGAAGTGAAAGGGCAGGAATGGGGGACCTGAAACTCACTGTATGGTGTGGTTTCGGGGGGTGCCTCCCCTGGGTCTCCCCTCGGGGCCTCTGCACTGAGAGCATCACAGTGGGCTGCTGTACTCAGCCTTGCCTCCCCCTCCCCAGCTCCTTCACAAACGGGACCCTCCAACCCTCCCCGACCTGTCCATCTTTCCCGCTTCTCCCAGCCTGCCGGATGGCGGACAGGGGTCACCTTGGCACGTACCTATCACCTTGAGGAAAAGGCTTTAACGGGGCATGTCCGAACCCTCTGGGACTCTCTCTCCACCAGCACCACAAGGACCATGTGCCTGGAGAGTTCAATCCCACCTGTGGCGACTTCCCCTACCCTAGGCCCTCAGCCACATCCACGGCACAAGTCAGAACTAAAACAGAAACAGAAACCAAAGACCACATCCTGCCGGCACAGCCTGAGGGTTACTGCAGCCAGCTCTGGAAGCCCACTGCCTGCTGGGGTGCAGCTCTGGCACATGAAGCCCCAGCACTCAGAACAGACTCCTTTTCGGGGCAGCGTCCCACCAGACACCTCCCGCTTCCTGATTGGCAGGCTTTTTCCCCAGGAAAAACTTAGTTGCAGGGAGGAAGAGATGATGGTGCTGCAGCGGTCACACCTCTTCCTCCAAGTGCATAAGCTGTCCCTAGGCCTCACTGACACTCCCTATCCCCCAAGAGTAGGTCCCAGGAGACAGAGGACATGAGGCTACTTTGAGGACTGCAGGACCTGAACCAGAGGTTCTTGGAGTATATGAATGAATGATGAGCCTTTATAGGAACTAACATATGGATGGAACTTAGATCCTCTCTCATGATTTTCTCAGGCTCCTGTGGGGCAGGGAGGGCAGAAATGGTCACCTCTATTTTAGAAATGAAAACACAGAGGGTTCAGGACAGTAAGAGATTTGGCCATATCCAAACATTTGATTCAAATCCCAGTCCTCAGCCTCCAGAATCACCCTGTCCCCATACGACATGCCTTGGAACTGCTTCCCACCCAAATCTCATCCTTAAGGCACATGTCTGCACGCAAGGGTCTTCAAGTCCGTGTAATCTACTTAGTCCGTTCCAAATAAGCTGCTTATTTTGCAAACTTACAGCTGAGTTTGTCCATGCAGCTTCTCGTAAATATGCCTGAGACGCTGCTGGGAGCATGAAGAAGCAGAGACCACCGGCCTGTTTCAAGCCCTGTCATCTCTCCTGCCCTCCTCTGCAGCCACCATTCTGACTCCTTCTTCGAGACCCTGCTCCCTCCTCACTCCTTTGCGATGCCATCCCACAGCCTCCAGGTCATTCCATCACTGATGTTCCCAGGGGGATCTGACCATCCTTCAACTGAAACATGTCGTCCCATCTTAAAATTATTTCTTTGTATCTATTTCCCCTACCACACTATGAATTCCTTGAGATCATAAAATTTCTGCTGGATGGATGGACAGGCAAGGTGAAGAAGGGCCCAGCTACACCTAAATTCTTGGGCAACTGAAACATCTAGTGTTACTAATCAAACATAGCAATGTCTTGTGTTTTTCTCTAATTTCTGGGTCACCATCACAGATGGGTTGTCTCCCACAAAGCGCCATACATGTCGGTTTACTACAGGCAAGGCTGTCTCTGCAGGTGAAGGAAGCAAGGAGGGTGCTCACTCTCCTTTCTCCCATCTCCAGGAGTCATTGCACCACCAGAGAATGAAGAGAGGCAGAGTGGGCAGTCTGGGTTTGCACAACACAGAAGACGTGTCCAACATCACGCAAGGAAGACTGGGGCAGGAACAGACTGTCCCAGGCATCAGGGGAGATACTGCAGGCTCCTACATGGGCAAGGGGCCAAGCGCAGGTTCAGGTCAGAGAATAACAACTCCTGTTATTTCTACAATGTGCTGGCACTCTCAAAACCCACATCGGTTTTCATGCACATAGGATTCACTTCCCAAAGAGGCTACTGGCAGGAAATTCCCTTTGCATCATTTTCTCTCCTTTCCTATAACTATTTAAGGTAAGCTGGGCTTGCAGGATTGAGTCTCTGCTTCTCTGACCGGAACCTAAAAACCAGATCTCTCTCCCCGGCCCCTCATCATCTCCTTGGCCTGGAACCTAACACTGGAGACAGAAAGTATGCAGGCAAACACTACCTCTGTTTTCTTACCCCCGCTCTCCTTTTCCTTAACCCTCCCCAAATCTCCCTATAAAGCAAAAAAAGTGTTTTTCCTTCTGCTCTCACACTCAAAGCAGAGCACTTCTGTGACCAGATATGGGGTGGGCATGGAGGGGGTCCCCCACCCCAAACAATTCTCCAGCGGACACCAGCTGGGTCTCCTACAGTTCATTTAAACTCTGATGCTGTCTATCCCGAGATAGCAGTGGACCCCACATTTTGAGGGCTCAGTCCCACAAGATTGCCCCCACTTCAGAGGCCAGTCACACACAGTAAATCATCACCTACACTTCTGACCAATTGGCTACAAACCAGGTTGACCCCCTCCGTGGGTTCTATTAATTTGCTAGGATGGCTCACAGAACCCGGGGAAACACTTACCTTTACTGATTTATTATAAAGGGTGCAGAAGAACAGCCAGATGCAGAGATGGATAGGGTGACGTATTGGCGGTCACCCACCAGCACCGCCACATGTTCAGCCACCCAGAAACCTATCAAATCTTGCTCAGGAGTTTTTATGTAGCTTGATCTCCACCCTCCCACACCTTTCTTGGAGGTTGGATGGTGGGGTCAAATGTTCTAATCCTCAATCCTCTAAGCATTTGGTCTTTCTGGTGACTGGCTCCATCCTGAGGCTGTATAGCCCCTCCACCACCCCACCACTTCCCCAGTAACTTCATTAGCACAAACTCGGGTGTTATCAAAGGTGCTTATTATGAATAACAAAATGGGAGATGGGAGCCAGGCCCCAACCCCACCAGGCCCTGTCCTTCCCCTCTGTGCCCCTTGCTCTGAGCTTGGAAGCTGCATTGTCTGCCTGACATCTCTTCTGTCTCACTTGGAGACCACCTGTCTTGTCCCTCTCCTCTCCCCCTTCCTTCTCCCTATGTAGCCCACTCTATCTCACATGCCCCTCTCAAAATCCCCCTCTGAGCAAACCCTGACCACCCAACTCCACCACCTTGGAGGGTGGTCTCTGGTCCCATGTCCCTTTCCTCCCATTCCCACCTCCGGCACTCAGTAGCTGCTGCTCGCTGCCTGAAAGGCTGGACAGCTGCTGGGCTCTCTAATTAGCTGCCTGGCCGCCGTCCCAGAGCAAGGCGTGTGTTACTGTAAAGAGCTGCCTCACCTTGCCTTCATCAATAATCCCCTATGCAGATCCCATCAGGCAGTGGCTGAGAGGCCCTAGAATACTCTGCACGTAAGACCAGGAAGCCCTCTCCTGTCAGCCAGAAAAAAGAGGCAGTGGCCTCACAGACTCACTGGCAAAGTGACCAGGATTTTATCTGGGTTCTCCCCATTACTGCCCATGTCCTGAGGGTGTCCTGGAGGTTACTCCACCACACTGCACCTTCAGAAGCGACGAGGACCCTGCCCCTTTGTTGCCTCACCAGGGATGCAGAAAGAAGCCCAGCAGGGCTTTCAGAAGACAAGCCTGGACTGCTCCTATGGTGTGACACTAGGACTCTGCTTTTCACAGCCTGTACAACCAAGCCACCCAGAGATTTCTAAGCAACCAAGGAACTTAGTACAAGAAGTCCTGTGTAACTGGTTTGTTTATTCAAGGTGTTGTATTCCAGTAGTCAACAAATATTTATTGAGACCCAGTGAAGGGTCTCAATACTGTTCACACATGGTACAGTATGAGTTCACACATGGTACTCATACTGTACCATGTGTGAACAAGACAATGGTCCTGCCCCCTTGGAGCTCACAGGCAGGTGGGAGATCAACAATAACTAAGCAGTCCCAAACATACTATAATTTCTAATATTATGCCATGAAGATGGGGAAGGCCAGGTAGGGGAAAGAAAGAAACCAGATGCTGGAGGGTGAGTCTTAAATGTTAAGGAGGTAGCATTTGGGCATAGGTCAGAAAGATGAGAAGAAGCCATGCAAAGAACTTTGGGAAAAGCATTCCAGGCAGAGAGGACAGTTAGTGAAAATACCCTGAAGTAGGAGAAAGTTAGACAAAGTTTGAGAAACAGCAAGGCCAGAGTAGCTGGTGTTAGGCAGTTTCTCTTCAAAGGTTTCAGTACCTGGTTCTTTGTTCTATTCTGAAAGTAATCTTACCCATCCATCTATCAGCCTTCCCCATCTTTGTTGCACCCAAACACACCCAAGCATGTCCCATCACCTATGTACTCGTCTTTCCCTTCAAGTGCCCACCCTTGCCTCCTTTGATGATGTCAACAGTAGCCTATCGGAATTAGTTTAGATTGTGCGGTCCAACCCCAGCCAACACGGGGAGGACACAGGAACAGGGTCTGCGTTAGGGATAAAAACCCCTGCTCTCCTTTGTTCGGTGTGCGCCTGTGATTGTAACTGACAAAGGCAGCACCCTTCTGCAGAAGTAAATTGCCTTGCTGAGAAAATTTTTTTTGCCTGAGTGCTGGTTTCACTTTGCTACACTGAGCTTTATTTCCAACACTGGGGGGTCAGTGTGCTTTGGATGCTGTCAATACCCTGCCTGTTGGGGTGAGCATCAGGCCCCAGCCTGGCCAATCACAGCACCACATTCCCCTGGTTCTGTGATTGGTTCAGGGATGGATACATGCTCCAGTCAGAGCCAATCCTGAGATTCTTGTTGGAATGGCCACAAAGACCACAAAAGAGGAATCTTCTTTTTTTTTTTTTTTTGGACTTGGAGCTATAAGGATGTCAGTCTGAAATTGACAAGGTAAGGCCAGGGACAGTGGCTCACACATGTAATAAACTTATTTATTTATTAAAAATAAATCAGTTTTTTGTTTTTTTTTTTAATTGAAGGATGAGAATTGTTCTGGGGAATCTGTGACAGTTGCTGTCTGCTCTCCATCTGAACCAATTGGGACCGTTCCTTTCCTTAAGTAACAGCCCACAGGAAAGGCCAGCATGCAGTCAGCTGGACACTGACCCCAGCCACACCAGGCACCTCCACCATAAGCCTTAAGCCCAACAACCCCTGCCCTTCGCTCAGCCCCTTGCTGGACAGCTCCATATACTGAGAAAGCACCCAGTCTTGCTAATGCTCAAAATATGGCTTCAAACAGCACTTAGGCAAGAGTAATTAAAGGGAATGTTATCTCAGTCAGTCTCTCATTAGCCACGTAATTAGACTGCTGAAAATAATTAACATTCCTTTTGACAAAGGATAAGAGGACCCATTACATTCATTAGGACAGCCTCAAACCAGCCTGAGAAAGGCAAGAAGAGAATTTAGAAATGAGACCCAAAGAGGTTATGCAGCTTTCTCAAGGTCACAGTGCTAGTAAGGGCAGGGCTAGGATTTGAAGCCAGGCAGTGTGCCTGTGGGTTCTGTGCTCTATCAGAGAAGCAGCTATGGGGGCTACAAGGTTTCAGCCAGCAAATCTAGGCACAGGAAGGGCCCTGAATTGGTGGTTATTGAATTTGGAGCAGCCAGGCCAGTCGGCCGTGCCCCTGCCCACCATGCTTATACTCTGGACACTAGGGTTGAGAAGTAGGGGATGCCTAGACCAGTTCTTGCCAGTGCCCAGCAGGTACATCCCACCCTCCTGTCCACAGCCAGTGGTGGCTGGCTCTGGTGCACAGAATCAGCGTTCACAGAGAGGTGACCTGAAGACCTCAAGATCCAACAGAGGAACACAGAACAAAGGCTCATCCAACATTTGACAAGAACCAGGGCTACAGAAGAAGCACCAAATTTAAAAACAGAAGTGGCCAGATGCAGTGACTCATGCCTGTAATCCCAGCGCTTTGAGAGACTGAGGCAGGAAGATTGCTTGAAACCAAGTGTTTGAGACCAGTCTGGGCAACATAGTGAGACTTTGTCTCTACACAAAAATTTTAAAATTAAATAAAGCAAATGGGGCAAAATGTGAATCACAGGTGAATCTGGGTAAAGAATATATGAGTGTTTTGTACTGTTCTGGCAACTTTTCTGTACGTTTGAAATTATTTCTAAATAAAAAGTTTGGAGGCAAAAACATCAGGGACCCTCTTGTTAGGACAGGGGGTGGGGCCCAGAAACAGACATGGAGGCAAATTCAGGGAGAACCACACTGGTCATCAGAGGTCTGCACTGGGCACAAAAATTCCAGCTCTGGGGTTTCTGCCTGCCAAATCCCTCCTGGAAACATTTCCTCTTCCAATTTGGCCCTCCTTTTTCTTGCTTCTCCACTGAGTTACTCCCTCCACCTCCCAGGATCAGCAATCTTGCAGAAGGCATCCATCCTAATGCCAGAAGACAGGGTTAAACTTTGGAGTCTATTCGCATATGTAGTTAGTATCTCCTGGAGATGTTTTCACACCTGTTTTGTCCACAGCCCATAATAACGAGTCAGGTTACATTTGTTAAACCACAGCCTTCTAGATTTTTTTTTTTTTTTTTTTTTTTTAGATGAGGTTTCACTTCCTGTTGGCCCAGGCTGGTGTGCAACGGCACAATCTCGGCTCAGGGTACCTCGCTCCGTTCAGGATTCTTCTCTCCGCCCTGAGTAAGCGAATTTAAGGTTGCTGCCACCATGCCCAGCTAATTTTGGTATGTTTATTAGAGATGGGTTCCTGTTGTTGGCCAGGCTGTTTGAATTCCTTTGACCTCAGGTGATCACTACCCTTGGCCTCCAAAGTAACTGGGATTACAGGCGTGAAGCCACATGCCCGGCGCCTTCTGGTTTATTTTTATTTCCCCAAGTTTCTGTGCTATTCCGAGTCACATGCTGCATTAGGCCTTAGGCCATTAGTTCTTCCCTCTGAGCTCGCACGCAGGGCTTTCTAGGTAGATGCCCCATTTCAACACCTCAGGCACCTCACACACCTAATTTCCAAAGCAGGGGCCCTCGACACAGGGACAGCTCCTCCCCTCAGGTTCACTGTTCACGTGTGTGTGGGATTTAGATAATGCACAGCCAGACAGCTTGGAAGGTTTCTTTAACCCTGTAGTTCCCAGCTATCAGGCTCTTGAGTGGGGAGATTGCTTGAGGCCAGGAGGGCAAGGTGCAGTGAGCGAAGGGTGCCATGCACTCCCCGCCTGGGTGACAGAGTGTGACCTGGGTCTCTTAATATTATTTTTAAAAGTTGATCTTTTATTTTGAGCCAGGTTATGGACTGTAATTTTAATTTTTGGTAAAACAGTGTGTTTTGTTGTGGCCAGGCTGATCTCAAATCTGGGCTCAAAGTGATCCATCCACCTAGGCCCCCAAAGTGCTGGGATTACAGGTGTGAGCCACTGGCTCGCTGGCTTTTTTTTTTTTTTTTTTTTTCGAAGGGTTGGCATCGTCACCAGGCTGCGTGCAGTGGCACGATCTCGCTCTCACTGCAGCCTTTGCTACCCCAGGTCAGGTGATCCTCTCCCTCAGCTCTCCAAGTAAGGCGGGACCACAGGGCCACCCATACACCCGGGCTTAATTTTTCGTTATTTTTGGTAGAGACGAAATTTTGCCATGTTGCCCAGGCTGGTCTCAAACTCCTGAGCTCAAGCAGTTTGCTCACCTCAGCCTCCCAAAGTGTTGGGATTACAGGTGTGAGCCACGTGGCCGGCAGATATCCTGTCTCAAAACAAAGAGAGACCCACTTAGGACTAAAGGGACTCAGACAAACCATGCTATTGTACACATTCACTAGCTTATTAATTTGGGAATCTTTACATGCATATTTTATGTCCAGACCACTGAATGCAATGTAGGCTGGGGCATGAATGCTGACGCACAACAGCAGGGCTGGTTGTTTTTTAAAACACTGGCAATATAAGAGCTTGGAAATTCTACAGTAACATCCAACATCAGAAAACTAATAATAACTTACATTCTTACAGTGCTTTTTACTTAAGCGAGACATTTCAAATTCATCTCAGCATTCATGCATTCACTCACACATTCATTAAACATTTACTCAGTATCTATTTTGTGCCACCAGGTACATTCGAAGACCACAAAGTCAAAGACCCCAGCCCAGGGCCAAAAGAAGCTGACATTCTATATGGTCCTGGATTACCCATCTGCACACTACACACATCTTAGGGCACCGGCCACCATGGGGCACCAAGAAAATTATTTTAAAGAAGAAAAAATGAGAGAGAATACAAATGAAGTCATTTGGCTTCAGCACACATATAAATTATCTGTGTTTTATATTATCTTCTCCACTGAGTTACTCCCTCCACCTCCCAGGATCAGCAATCTTGCAGACTCGTCTTTCCCTTCAAGTGCCCACCCTTGCCTCCTTTGATGATGTCAACAGTAGCCTATCGGAATTAGTTTAGATTGTGTGGTCCAACCCCAG